ATTTTGAAAAAAACACAAAAATCTTATGTCAGTGTGCAAACATTTATGAAAATAAGTCAGTTGAAATCTTCTGATGGTTTTTAAACTCTAAAGTTTAATTTTGGAAAAATGAAGAGTGATCAAGGATTAAGTGGGTGTTCAGGTTGATTACGTAACAGATGATTAAAGAAAAATAAAACTATTTATTATTATTGTTTCCTTTAATTCCTAGAGGAACATAGGGCTTCAGCCGTGCGTCTCCATTGCGTTCGGTTCTCTGCTAGAGTCTTTACCTGGCTCCAAGTCTGTTCCTCGATCGACACTGTCGAAGGCCTTTTCAAAGTCGATGAAGTTGAGATTGAGAGCTGACTGCCATTCCAAGCAGGCTTTGTTCAATGATGATCCGTAATGTGGTGATCTGATCAATGCATGACTTGTTTCTCCTGAATCCAGCTTGTTCCGGTAGAAGTTTTTCATCCAGGTTGGCATGTTTGATTCTCTCCAGGATGATGGGGCTTAGTATTTTGCTTGAGATGGACAGGAGCATAATTCCGCGCCAGTTCTTGCATTGACTTAAGTCTCCTTTCTTTGGTAGTTTGAATAAGTATCCTTTCTTCCAATCCTCGGGTACTTTGCCTTCTTTCCACACCTTCTCCAGTAGTGGCGTCATCAAGTCCGCTGTTGTCTCTGGGTCCATTTTCAATGCTTCTGCTGGGATTCTATCTGGTTGTGCTGCTTTTCCAGCTTTTAGCATCTTGATTGCCTTCAGGACTTCTGATTTCGTCGGGGGATTGGTGTTCACTGGTAGCTCTGTCTCCGTCGTTGGTATTGTTGGGCGCGTTGTAGGTGGTGGACAATGATAACTTGTAGTTAAAGGTGAAGTAGTCAGTAAAGGTAATAAAATAATTTGAACAATTATAATTTTTTGAAAGATTTACAAGGAGGTCGAAGTAGTTCGATTGATACGTTCATGTAACGATGGTCAAGGCACGCGAAGTGGCTCTACGAACTTCTTCTGAACACACGCACAGGTTTGCCTTCTTCAGGTAGATTCCTATTGCTTCAGCTGTCTGTAGAAGACGAACTCGTAGAGCAAAATTAAGATTAGTAGGAATGCGGTAGATAATTTTAAATGCTGTATTAACATCAATCTTACGCTCACTGCCTACAAGGTGTGCTAAAATAGAGCTACGAATAGATCTTGTTTGTCCCTTGCTTAACCATATTGGATGATGTTAGGAAATACGATGATGAACCTGCCTAATTGTGCGCCCCCCCGATGTAGCTGGCTCTGCAGCCGCAGTCAAACTGTTAGATACACATAGAAGAGGCAAATTTAGGTAGTTTATCCTTATTTCTCGAACGTAGAATAGGGCTGGTTGTGAAGAGACGGCGTACCTCTAGTGCATAATAAGCTCTTTTAACTGCATTCTTCAGGTGTTCGCTGTGTTATTATTTCACTGGTGTTATCACCGAGGAACTGTAGTTTTATGAACATTGGTTTTTTCGGAACTGTAGCCATACTGACTCTCCTTGGTACTGAATTCATATTTTTCTCAATAAATTTATCTGAATAACCATTTTCTCTAAGTAATTCTCTGATAATCTTAGGCTCCTCTCTCATTGAGGCAGTTGTTTGAACGAACAGATTATCTCAGCTGTATGAACCAGACACTTCAGCAAGTTACGTGTTTATATTTCAAAGGTGAGAAACTCAAAAAAAAAATGAGTGTACTGACCTGTTGTTGTAGGTTTCCTATACACACACACTCCTTAGTGTTTATATCATCTTCATTTTTCGAGAATTGTGCATTATGCAATCCACTTGTTGTAACCATTTCTACCCTCTCCAGCTGACACGTTGATACTGACCAATTTTGTGTGTTAACACACACATAAATGCTACTTGATTGGTGGAATGTTGTGTGTATTGCTGTGATTAAGATGTTGACAGACTTTAATCAACACTGGTCGATTGTTGCTATTATTACATGAATATATGCAGACGATATAGTCCTCCTTCTAGGCGAGGACGCTGACAAAATGCAGACACGGTCTTCTGAACACCTTGAGCCGCAATCTACGAATGTTTGGCATGCGATTCGCTCCCGCTGTCAAATGTAAGGTGATGTTACAGCAATGGACTACACTGACTCCTAGTTTAGAAATAGGAAGTGAAGTGGTTGGTGGAGCACTTTGACGCCTTCACTTATTTGGGAAGTACCATCAGCCCTAACGGGTTGATCTCTGACGAAATCTCAGCACGGATACAGAGGGCTAGTTTCACATATGCCAGTTTACGCCGTCTCTGGCTTAGTAGACGTGATATCTGGCTGGCTATCGACCCTTTGGACGTTTGTACTGTTCAGCAGTCCGCTCCGTCCTCCTTTATAGCTGTGAGACCTGGCCATTGAGAGTGGAAGACATGAACACACTAGCTGTCTTTGATCATAGGTGCCTGCGACAATTTGTTATATGGCTCAAACTCATCGTTCTCAATGGCTGGCTGGCGCAGATGCATCCACTCCTTGTGATTTATGATTTCCAGTGAAACTATATTGTTCTTCGTTATTACTATTCCTTTGTCTCACTCCTCTGTTTACTGTCTCTATTATGCATTTCTTCTACTTTCTTCTCTTGCTTTGTGTGCTACATGGAGAGAGTGTGGCGACTTGAACTGCTGCACATCGGTGCAAAGCTCTATGTCGAAAACAGACAGACAGATATGAGTAGTAAACGCAATTCGGATAGTATTTTGACCAAAAAATATAGAGAAGCTCTGAATGTTCTCCGTAAAAATGATAACAAAATAATAACAAGACCGCCAGGATAAAGGCTCAGGAGTGGTTATCATGAACAAATTGGATTACTTTGAGAGGATGAATACTATTCTTGATGATAATCTGAAATTCCAAAAAATCTCCTCTTCTCTGGATCCGATTGAAAAGATAGAGAAACAGTTAGCGGAAACATTGAGAAGACTGAAAGAACAAGGCTTCATCTGGAACGTTCACACCAAGACTATATGGCTCGCCTAAAGTGCACAAAATTTGTGTACCGCTTCGACCAGTAATAGATATGTTAAATTCACCATACCAACCCGTAGCCAAATGGTTAGTCGAACTCTTACAGCCTCTTCATACCGAGTTGGTGAAACACAGTGTAAAGGGATACTTTTGGATTTGTTGAAAGGATAAAAGATATAAATGTTGACAATAAATTCATGATATCATTTGATGTATCCTCCTTATTCACCAATGTACCACTTATGGAAACAGCGGACTTTGTATGCGAAGAACTCATTGGACAAAACATCGATTGTTGACATTCCTATATCTTTTATGAAAGAGCTTCTCTTGAAATGTACAATGAATGTCCACTTTTTATTTAATAAGGAACTTTACAGACAAATCGACGGTGTGGCAATGGGGTCACCACTAGGACCCATTCTAGCCGACATTTTCCTTGCGAAACTAGAAAATGGGCCTTTGAAGGATGTTATTAATGAACTTGAATTCTATTGTCGGTATATGGATGATACATTTTTGATTGTGAAAAATGAGAAGGAAGTAAAGAACATCCTGGATAAATTCAATGAGTTTTATCCTGCAATAAATTTTACTATTGAGAAAGAAAATGGTTCTAGTATTTCATTTCTAGACGTCCTTACGACCAGAAAAGAGGATGGCACAATAAGAAGAAGTGTATATAGAAAACCTACATCAACTACGTGTCAGTATACTCATTTTCTCAGCTTCGTGCTGATAAAGTGCTTGGTTCACAGAGCAAGAGCAATTTGCTCGGATGAATGTCTTGATGAGTAACTTAACAATATTAAACGATTGTTGAGTGAAAATGGTCATCCAGAAAAGTTTATTGATGAAAATATGAATCTAAAATCAAGGCAGCCCAAGGTACCAACAGTTCCGAGAAAGGAAGGCCTTATTCTTACAAATGCAGTCAGTTCCTCGGGGACAAAATCAGCGAGATACTAACACAGCGCCTGAGAAATGAGGCGGTAAAAAGAGCATTCCCTGCTGCCGAATTACGCTGTGTCTTCAAAACCACTCCTCTTTTGCGTTCGGGAGTAAAAGACAAACTGACTAATTTCGCCTCTTCCATGTGTGTGTGTATCTACCAATTTAACTGCTCCCATGTGGAGTGAGCCAGTTACTTGCATAGGCTGTACAATTAGGCGTGTTTCTCGTCGAATTTCCGAACATCACCCACCCTGCACAGTGGTTGGTTAAGCAAAGGACAAACAAAATCTATTCGCAGCGCTATTCTATCTCATCTTGTGGATACAGAACACAAGACTGATTGATGTTAACCATGCTTTCAGGGTAATTTACCGCATACCTACTAATCTCAATTTCGCCTTAAGAGTTCGACTGCTAAATATTCCTGAGGCTGGCCAATGGATCCAGAATAACAAGCCTAATTTGTGCATCCAAAAGAAGTTGGTTGGTTCAGACATTATCCTTACCTCTTGGCTTGACCATCCAGGTTTGAATGATCCTGAATTTTAGTTGATATTCTATTTGCTACTATATCTTTATTATAATTATTATTTAAGCATCTTTAATGAACTGTGATGATTCCATTGTGATCTTACTTTACAAATCGATATTATTTAAAAAGCACACACTAATATGTTGTTACTGACTACCAATCTAGAATATTCTATGTATATAAATAAACATGCATATATAGATATAATTGTAGAGCGAGAAAAGGAGGAGGAATTTATCGAAAGGGGGATATTCTTTGCTGGCTCAATTATATTTTGTATTAGAGTAGTAGAGTCAGTGGGAGATGAGGAGAGTAAATATTGTCTTCATTCGCTCAATCAATCAATCCTTTTTCGCCTTTTTCTTTTATAGATTTCTTTAATCTTTTTTTTAGTGACCCTTGTTTCAGTCAATTTAAATTCGTTAAAGAGTGTGTGTGTTTTTGTTTTTATGTCACACCACTGATTTTGTCTGTTCTGTTTATTATTATTATTCTCTTCTACACTTCAGAGCTTGTTCGACAGGGTAATTTACGCTTACACAAACTTCGTTCTTTAGTCTTGGATGAAGCTGATGAAATGTTGAACAGAGGTTTAGGTGACCAGTTAGAAGAAATATATCGTCATCTTCCATCTCATATTGGCTTGGATAATACTAATAGAAGGAAATCTCTTCACTGTCAGGTAGTGATTGTTTCAGCCACTATGCCTAAAGAACATTTGGAATTGTTTCAAAATTTCACATCCAATCCTGTTCGAATTCTTGTACCAAGGTGATTTTCTTTAATTTTTTGCTATATAATAAGTTGTGGTGGTGTCCGTCCGTCCATCCGTCAGGGACTCTCCCCTGACTGTCGCCATTTCTTTTTTTTCTTCTTAATTTCATCATAAATGCATGTGCTAATTGACTTAACCCTCTCTGACTGACTTCAGCGACTCAGCGATCCACTTGTTACTGACGATGATATAGTCCTCCCAACTGGATAAACACGCTGACAAAATGCTGCAGCAGAGTCTTCTGAACACCTTGAGTTGGAGCACCAACCTTTGAATGAATGTTTGGCATGGGAGCGATTCTCTCCTGCTGCTGGCGAAGGTAAGACGATGAGGCTACAAGACTGGACAACATCGACTACTCCTAGATTAGAGATCGACCGGCAAGAGTGAAGTGGTGGCTGGCTGGCTGGGAAGTTGCATCAGCCAACTCCAGCGAGTTCATCGCCGACGAAATCTCAGCACATATATATAGAAGGCTCGTTTGACATTTTTCAGCCAACCCAACTAACGCCATCTCTCTGGTATGCTTAGTAGACGTGATATCCTGCTGGTTGGCTATGAGACATGCCCATTGAAAGTGGAAGATATGAAAAGTCAGGCTAGCTAGCTAGCTAGCTAGCCGTGTTCCATCATAGGTGTCTGCGTTCTATCTCCCGTGCTGTTAGGTGATGTAGGTGTTAGGTTTAACAGGGTGTTGAGCAATATTGAGGTGAGGCACCGGTCAGTCGACTGCTAGGTGAGGAAGGAGGAGGAGGCGAAGAGGAAATCAATCGACAATGAGGTTGTGAAGCAGTTACACCGATTGAAATGGTTAGGACAGGTGTTACGCATACATGAATAGCCAACACCTTCCTCAATCAGCAATGTTAGCCAGTGACTAACATAAGATGGATCAGGTTGACAAAGAATTAGCTATTGATGTTGGTGGTGGTGGTGGTGGTGATCAAACCAAAACATGACTTCATCATCAGTCAATGAAATCCACAACAGTTACTTTAAGCCAGCCAGCCAGTCATGTAAGGAGGTGTAGACTTCCTGACTAACTGCCTGGTTTGGGTTGTCAGGATGGTGGTGAGAACCAATAAAGGCTGGAGACAATCAGTGATGTTGGCTGGCTCAAAATCGTTCTCGGTGATGACTGGCGCTGGTGCAGATGCATTCACTCTTTGTGATGACTGATCATATCCAATAAAACTCTGCCGTTGTTCTTCCATATTATTCCTATTCTTTTTGCCTCACTTACATTTCTGTTTATTATCTCTCCCTCTCTCTCTCTCTCTTTCTCTTTACTTTCTTCTCTTGCTTCGTGTGTTACATGGAGGGAGTGTTGTAGCAAGTTGAACTGTTGCACATCTGTGCAGAGTTCTACATTGAGAGCAGTCAGTCAGTCGATCAGATAGAATGGGAAAGGCAAGATACACTCTCCTCAACTTGAAACCAGTTTGGAAATCTTCTGCTTCTCTTCGCCTCAGCTAGCCTAAAGAAGAAGATTCGCATTTTCGAAACAAATATCAGTGAAGTCAGCCAGTCAGCCAGTGAGTTAGTGCTTCTATATGGGTTAGGAACTTGGTTAGAGTGTCACGGAAAGCATTTTCAACATCTGACACCTTCGCTGGCTGACTGGCCAACTCCATACTCAAGATCAATAATCAGCCGGCCAGAAAGAATTAGCAACAAGAAACTCTGGCTGGTGATGAGCAAACCAACCAAGATCCGTCGATCACTCAACAAATATGCGAGAGAAAATGGCGATGGAGTGGTAAAGCATACGTTGAGGAAGGAGGCCATCGAATGACAACGGGCGCAATGCAGGCTGTCGCTCGAATGGAACCCCAATAAGAAGCGACGGATGGCCGATGCGAGGGTAACATGGGGGAGATTGTGTGTGGGGGAGTTGGATGAGGAGATGAAAGATTATGGGGAGTCGTGGGGCTAACCAGGTGAAGAGGACAACAGAGAATAGAAGAAAGCGGAGTTGTGTTGTTGAAGTCATATGTTCCACTCGGAACCCGAGGGAATAGTAATATAGTCGCATGGTTGAATAAAACATGGTGAACTAGTACTGTAATAGTAATTGAAAACCTTATCACCTGTAATGGTAGAAGTTGATGGCTACCAAATAGTCTTGTTTTGTTTTACTAATGTCTAGAATTCTTCTACAACCAACCAACCAACTGAATTGTAGATGCAACCATTCAATCAGTCTCAGTATTCATCTTTAGGCATCCATATTTAGTGGTCAAATGAAATGAGCTTTTTCCTGCTATTGATATTAGACTGTTAGAGTTAATCGGCCACCACAGGAAGTCTTCCACCTAGGTTTAGTGCTAGCTAACACTCACCGGTCAGCAAGGCGTAGCTGCAACCAACTTGAAGGAACCAACTCATGTTCTTTCTGAGGTTCGAACCCGCGTCATCTAGGGCTACCTGCAGTAGTAGTAAAGAAAACATTATAAAATCAACACATCCGAAATATAATTTACTATTATTATTATTTCCTTTAATTCCTAGAGGAACTTAGGGCTTCAGCTGCACGTCTCCATTGCGTTCAGTTCTCTGCTAAAGTTTCCACCTGGCTCCAGGTCTGCCCACATGCTTTCATCATCTCCTCTTCACATGACCTCCTCCAAGTCACCCACCCTCGCACTGATGACCAACTCGCCGCTTCCCTTTCGGGTTCCACCTGAGTGAGGGCTTGTCTAGTGATGTTACTTGATGGTTTGTTTTCTCAGAGGATGGCCAATCCACCTCCATTTCTTTCTGTTTATTTGTTGCACAATCAATTCCTGCTGTGTTGGTTCGCTCATTGCCAGAGATCCCACCTTGTTGCTGATCTTTTCTGGCCGGCCATCTGATCTTCAGTAGTATTGAGCGAAGACAGCTGTTGCTAAAGGTCTGTAGTTTGTTTGAGATGCTCTTTATGACGCTCAGTGCAAGTCTCTGATCCGTATAGTGAGTAGCACTGACTTCACATTGGAGTTGAAAATCCGGATCTTATTTTCATTTTCATGCTGAGTGCTGTTGACCTCCACACAGACTTGCTTTCCCGATCCTTGCTTTGATATCCTCATCAGTTCCGTCCGCCTGTAGTTGAAACGATGCTTCCCAGGTAGGTAAAGGAGGTTGTTTCTTTCAAGTTCCTCCCATTTATGCTGACTGTTGTCTGTTGTTGTTGTCGCTGTTGGTGTTGGCCAGGAATCTTTATCACCCTTGTTCCCTCCATGTGTACTTGGAGTCCTATTTTTGATGCTTCTTCTGCTAACTTGTTGCTTTTCACTTGCATATCCTCGCTGCTAAAGCACTGGGACAACCTGAAAGCGGTGTGGAGTCAAACCTGCGTGGAAGTCCTGGGCAGAAAGTAGAGACAGTACAAACAATGGCTTTGGAAATATAAGCAGCATTACAAATTCGGGTTTAAGTTGCCATCAATCGCCATATACCTTTCAGAATAGAAAAGGAGGGGAGTGGGTAGGAGAAGATAAAAAAAATAACAACAACAGAAAAGCCGAATAAACCGCGTTAGCGTGTGTAGGTTTAAATAGCAACTCAAAAAACTTGGAAAACTTGGATAGCTAATCAGTGTGTAATCAAAATACAGTTACCAAGTGAGTGAGTGAGTGAGCGATTGATTACACACTCTCTTTCTATATGCATAAGTTCGGTTTGAAACGTTTGATTGCAATTGCTTCAGCTGTAAATCGTGGTGGTAAATTTGTTATCCTTTGAATGCTTTATATTTTAAAAGATTTAGAAATCTCGACAAAAAGTGACCCGTATCGACAAAGTGTATCTGGTAATTACACTTTAACAAATATCTGCCTCCTTTTAGACGTCAGTTTCCTGGGATATGCTCTTCTTTCTGTCCTTCCAATGTGTACTGGCTCCGGCAACGGCACGTAAATTTCCCAAGTGCAGTTGGTGAAGGTGACATCAGTGGGGTACTTATCCAGATCAGATTGGCTTATAGAGAGCATGCGGTACTGTGTGCTGTATAGCAAACTTTACGAGGTTTACGATCTGCAGGGTGGCATCTTTTTATTACTCCTTTCATTCTCTTGTCAATCGCTTTTTGTGTTACTGCATCTCCTTTCTGAATGGGAGACAACAAATGAACACTTCGTTCTTTTCTTTGCTGTACTATTCGATAAATCTCTTTGGATATCCATTTTTCACTTAGGCATTTTTCAACAAGGCCTGATTCTTCTTCCACCTTGCTAAGCGACTCTGTTGTACAGTATCCTTAATAATTCATGCTTATACTACAAATCTGGTTTTTCTTTCTGTATCGAAAATTACATCAAAGGTTATTATTATTTATTGTTTCCTTTAGTTCCTAGAGGAACATAGGGCTTCAGCTGCACGTCTCCATTGCGTTTGCTTCTCCGCCAACACTTTCACCTGGCTCCACGTCTACTCACATGCTTTCATGTCCCCTTCGCATAGCCTCCTCCATATCACCCTCTCACTGACGACCAACTCACCGATTCCCATTCGCGTTCCACTCGACAAATAGCCTGACATGTGATGTCACTCACTTGATTGTTTTATTTTTCTCAGAGTATGGACACAATCCAATCAATCCACCTAACTCCATTTCTTCCTGCATATTTCTTACACAATTGGTTCCTGCTAGAGATTGCTAGTTGCTAGAGATCCTTGTTACTGATCTTTTCTGGCCGATCATCTCATCTTGAGTAGTACTGAGCGAAGACAGCTGTTGATGAAGTCGTGTAGTTTGTTCGAAGTGCCCTTCGTGGCGTGGCGTGGAGCCAATTCTCCGATTCATATAGTGCGTAGCAGTGACTTCACATTGCAGTTGAAAATCTGGATCTTATTTTTCATGCTGAGTGCTGTTTATCTCCATACAGACTTGAGAGTAATGAAAGCTTGCCTTGCTTTTTCGATCCTTGCTTTGATATCTTTTCATCAGTTCCGTCCGCCTGTAGTTGAAACGACACTTCCCAGGTTTGTAGGTAGGTAAAGGAGGTTACTTCTTTCAGATTCCTTCCATTTATGCTGATTGTTGTCTGTTATTGTTGTTGTCGCTGTTGGTGTTGCCCAGAAATCTTCATCATCACCTCTGTTTTCGCAATGTTCACCTGAAGTCCTATCTTATCTGGATGCTTCTTCTGCCAACCTGTTGCTTACATTAAAGATTCGAATATACTTTTTCCATATGGATAAGGAGTCATTGATTGGAACTTTACTGTCTGTCTCTGTCTGGATTCAACATACAACTTGGCACGAAAGTGCAGGAGTTCGAGTTGCCACGTTCCAAATAGCACACAAAGGTAGACAAGAAAATGAGTGAAGAGAATCAATAGAGTTTTGACAAGTATAAGAGTGAAACAGAATGAGTAATGGTAGAAAGGAATATGAAAGATTACAGAGACTGAATACATCTGCGTAAGCTATTGACAACGATTTTGAGCCATGTCACCTATTGTCTCCAGCCATTGATGCTTAAAGTCCCGAGGGCCCCAACCCGGAAGTCTGCATCTCCATACCTGACTGACTCAGTTTAACTGTCAAGGATTTCATGGATTGATGCCATGTTTTTGTTTGGCCACCACTTACTCTTTACCAGCCTGCACCTATATCAGCTAGTAACGCCCGTCAGGAGGGGAAGGCGATGGTTAGGCATGCGCAGCACGTGACCTAGCCATCTCAATCTGTGTAACTTTATAGCCTCTTCGATTGATTTTCCCTCTTTGCCAAACACTCTACGCCTAACGTCAACATTGCTTACCTTATTATGCCACCTAACGTGAGAAAGAGATCGTAGACATCTATGATAGAAAACAGTCAACCTTTTAATGTCTTCCGCTCTCAATGGCCACGTCTCACCGCCATAGAGAAGGACGGAGCGAACTGCTGAGCAGTACACACGTCCCTTTGTTGATAGCCGAATGTCACCCCTACGCCAGAGATGGTGTAAGTTAGCGAAAGCAGCTCGAGCTTTTTGGATCCGTGCTGAGATTTCGTCACCAATCAATCCGCTGTTGCTGTTGCAACGGATGGAACTTTAAGAGTAATATTGGTCAGGAATGATATAGTAAGTTATTAAATAATCAGGAGAGTTACAAAGACCGACTATTTACAGAAGAAATGCACGACTAGGCTGGGAAACAAAAGAACAGTAGAGCTCAACAAATATTTTGTTGTTTGAAAAAAAACAGAGTTAAACTAGAAAGAGCATAACACATAAAATAGGTTACGTAACCACAGAAAATATGTTTTATAAAACAGGAAAACAAGGGTGGGAATGTTTAGAGTAAATCATGTATAGATGTGCGTCGGTGGCATAGTGGTTAGGACGCTCTCCGACCATGCACATGGTCCGGGGTTCGACCCCCGTCCGGCCACGGACGCACTCCTTTACCTCGCTAAGCCAGAAATAATGCTGGTGAAGAGGAAAGGTTGGGCATGAGGTGGCTAGCAACCCCATCCTGTAAAAATATACACTGCTACAGAAACTTCAAGCCACTAGCTTGAAGGCGCCCTATGTCCCACTGGGGAACGTGAAGGAAAAACAATGTACAGGTGGGACAGTAAAATTCTTTTCTAAACAGGACAGAAGAAAAGGTAATAAAATTTTGCATACTTTGTTGTCTCACTGGGCCAGTGAAACATTCACCCCACTGTCTACATAGATTCTGTTTTAATCGTTTGATGATGGTGGTGATTCTCTCGGCAAAACGTCGTGACACAAGGTAAGTTTTTTGTTTTGTTTTAAAGGATAAATCACGTGTGTGTGGGGGGGGGTGGCTGAATCAGCTAACTCCAGCAGCAGGAGGTGTTCACAACTTGAAGACTTTGTCGTCCTTTACCCACCTTTCATTAACCAAACCGCTTAGTGTTCAGCGCTATGCGTTTATGGAGAACACACGTACAACGTCCAATGTAATCAGCTCCACACGAGCGCATGTGAATGCGTATATGCACATAGAGGTGGACGCACATAAGCGGTAGTTTATCTTTGACGCATTGTTGAATCATATTTCCGCTGGTAAATACTAAATGTAAGTCGGCTGCGTATAAAAAAAGGCGTTTAATACATTTAGATAAACGACTTGTAATCACTTCAGAAATAGTGTCACCTTTGAATGCCAAATTCATAATCAGTATCTTCTTTACCACTGTGATTTGTTGGACTGGAGACGGTTTCCTTCTTGATGTTTCTGTCAATAAACCTTCTAGGATATCCATTATTTCGTCCTTTAATCGTAGGTAGATACAGGGGTCAAAAATGTTCGGCATGTGAGAGAAAGAGATGCGGCATGGAATGTGCGCTTGACTGCTGGCCGAATTCTTTGAGCTAACTGTCAACTGCATAATTTGATCACCCTTGAAATAGTAGGCTAATCATGATATCATCTCGCCAAATTTGTCTGCTAATTGTCTTATTCAAATTTATCAAAGTGACTAATTGTTTTAGGTGTCTTTTGCCTGTTGATTTCTATGAACATCTTCGAACTGTCCACAGCATATGTTGTGACCAGTGTTGTTCAACAGATGGCGTGCTTGTGAGTCCTTTAGTCTCAGAATCTTTGCAGTGTATTTAGAAATATGGACAACAACTCTTTTCTCTCTGTTCTCCCGGTGTTTTTGTGCCTTGGCACGTCCATCTCAATTGGTAAACACAGTTGAAGGTAACGTGAAGTTGATACAAGTCCCGAGGAGGTTGTAACCAGTTGAGAAGAATCTTCGAAGTAATTAAAGATGAGCTCATTTTTTTGTTATTATTATAGCTTGATTCCACACCGTATTTTCGATACAAGTATGGAATTTTCAGCATGTGATAACGGTAGCCCAATTTTGCAGGCCGACGATAGATATCGGGTGTGCGTCGGCAGGGGATCGAACCCCGGACCATGTGCATGGTCGGCGAGAGTCCTAACCGCCACTGTGCCACCGACGCATATTTATCCGTCTTGTTTTGTTCAAATTTATCAATGGGAAGAATTGTATGAAGTCTATAAATATTTTATCTAGGACAGCTCACATCACAAAATAAGTCGGTGTTCAACTATACCTGACGGACGTCATGGTTGTGACATAGTTGTGACGAAACACTACGTGTTCCAATAAATGAGTAGTGCTGTTAACGTTGTCAGTTGTACACATGTATATGTCTCCATCAAATTTTCACGTGTTCATCTTACATTTTATTATTTTATTTTTTTTTATCAATAGAGATGAGTTAAGCCTTTCTGGTCTACAACAATTCTATATTGATGTTGGCTCAGAAGAATGGAAATTTGAGGCGTTAAGTGATCTTTTCTCTAGTGTTTGTGTTTCACAAACTGTTGTTTTTGTAAATACACGACGAAAAGTTGACTGGCTTGCTAGCCAATTGAATCGAGAAGGTTTCACCGTCGCCTGTGCTCATGGTGATCTGGATCAAGTTCAACGAGAATCAGTTATGAAACAGTTTCGTTCAGGAGAATGGTAATTTTTTAAATATTTTTTTCCACACGGGATGCTTTCTCTTTACCTGTATTTGTTGTTATTATAGCGGGTATTATTATTATTATTATTATTATTTTAGTATTATTCCCTCGGGTTCCGAGTGGAACATATGACTTCAACAACACAACTCCGCTTTCTTCTATTCTCTGTTGTCCTCTTCACCTGGTTAGCCCCACGACTCCCCATAATCTTTCATCTCCTCATCCAACTCCCCCACACACAATCTCCCCCATGTTACCCTCGCATCGGCCATCCGTCGCTTCTTATTGGGGTTCCATTCGAGCGACAGCCTGCATTGCGCCCGTTGTCATTCGATGGCCTCCTTCCTCAACGTATGCTTTACCACTCCATCGCCATTTTCTCTCGCATATTTGTTGAGTGATCGACGGATCTTGGTTGGTTTGCTCATCACCAGCCAGAGTTTCTTGTTGCTAATTCTTTCTGGCCGGCTGATTATTGATCTTGAGTATGGAGTTGGCCAGTCAGCCAGCGAAGGTGTCAGATGTTGAAAATGCTTTCCGTGACACTCTAACCAAGTTCCTAACCCATATAGAAGCACTAACTCACTGGCTGACTGGCTGACTTCACTGATATTTGTTTCGAAAATGCGAATCTTCTTCTTTAGGCTAGCTGAGGCGAAGAGAAGCAGAAGATTTCCAAACTGGTTTCAAGTTGAGGAGAGTGTATCTTGCCTTTCCCATTCTATCTGATCGACTGACTGACTGCTCTCAATGTAGAACTCTGCACAGATGTGCAACAGTTCAACTTGCTACAACACTCCCTCCATGTAACACACGAAGCAAGAGAAGAAAGTAAAGAGAAAGAGAGAGAGAGAGAGGGAGAGATAATAAACAGAAATGTAAGTGAGGCAAAAAGAATAGGAATAATATGGAAGAACAACGGCAGAGTTTTATTGGATATGATCAGTCATCACAAAGAGTGAATGCATCTGCACCAGCGCCAGTCATCACCGAGAACGATTTTGAGCCAGCCAACATCACTGATTGTCTCCAGTCTTCATTGGTGTTTACCATCTCGAGTACCCCAAGCAGGTCGTCTCCACCTCCCTACGTGACTGGCTGGCTGGCTGGCTTGAACTAAATGTCTTGTATGTTAGTGACTGATGACGAAGCCATGTTTCGGTTTGACCACCACCACCACTAGCTAACTCTTTGCCAATATGACCCTATGTCAGCTAACATTGCCCCACCCATCGGTCGAGTAAGGAAGGCGATGGCTAGGCAGGCATGTGTGAGCAACGCATGTCCTAAGCATCCATCTCAATGGGTGTAACTGCTTCACAAGCTCATCGTCGATTGATTTCCCCTCCTCCATCTGCATCGAAAAAAAATGTGACGAATAATCAAATTGGAACTGTGGGTGCCAAGAGGTGAAGATTAAGTATGAGGGTAGTGGTGGTGGTGAGTTGTCAAAAATCATAGTTGTCAGTGTTAATGAATACATAAGAGAGCAATTGAATGAGTAAGTATATTGTAGTTGCGTAATAGGATGAATAATTTAATGGGTGAGTTTTGATTAAGATGTACATAGAAATGAAGCGGAGGAAAGGATGGCATTATGTAAGAGTTGTGAAGAAATACAAGAGTCATAAGGATTTGGAAAAGCAGGTACACAAACATCATGATAGTAGAAGTGGTTGAATGGTTTTCTTTTTGTAAACAACATAACTCTAGTTTTTCCAAGTGGTGAATGGCTAACACCTTCAGCAATAGAAAGGAGACGAAGAAAGCGCATTGTCTTTGGTAGGTTATTCTTGATTGACTGTGTGTAGATTACTTTGAAGCAGGAGGAGGCGTTTGTTGAGATGGAATGGCTAGTGTTGTTGTTGACAAGGTGTTCGATGATGATCACCCTCTTTGTAGAGCCACTACTACGTTTCTACGGACATGCTGTGGAATAGTGTTCTCGGTTCGTTTTTTGACAGGATACGCGTCGAACGACGAATGTACCTCGCTGGCTCCACAGCCTCAGGTGAACTGATAGCCTCACTGCGGAGAATGTTCATATGAGTTATATTCTGTTCTCTGCAGTCATCTTTACCTGACTCCGCGTCACTCTCGGACACACACCCAACTCGTCGTTTATCACTAGAGTTGCACTCGACCGATGGCCTGCATTGCGCACCATGTCATTCGACCTTCTTCTCGGTGTATGTCCGATCCAGCTCCATTTCCTTTGCTACAAATTTCTTGAGCAGTAGGTTCATGATTGATTTGTTCCCAGCGTTTCTATTTGCTAATTCTTTGCCACCAAGGGCGGCTAGTGACAAAAGTCTGCAGCAGGCCAAGTTTCTAAGCCATAAAGAAGGAATGACTGTTGAAAATCCGAATTTTGTTGTTTAATACTGAGGCGGAGTTCAGAAGATTTCCAAACTGATTTCATAGTGGTGAATATATCTGCCCTGCCTCTCCGATTCTGCTTTTGACATTCTTATCCGTGCTGTTGTTGCCTGTAGTTGAGATGATGCTGACTAGATAAGTGAGGGGTGAAGTAACCGCTTTCAAATTTCTTCCTTTGACGATAGTGATGATTGGTGCTTGCTGTTGTTGGTCTGTGATTGTCTTCACACATCAGTCGTGTCTTTGTGATCGTTTAAAGTCCTTTCTTTTCTGTCAACTGGTTAATTTTCGCTTGTAAGTCTTCGAATTTAACCACAGTATGACTCATCGTATATTTGGTCATTCAGCACGCAAGATATACACAAACATTTGCGGTCAAACACAACTAGTCTTCCCCTTTTTCAAAAGTCATGTCTCTCAGTCATGAAGAAGTGTAGATAGAACTGCTTCACAGTACTTTCATCAGAGGCTGAGAGCAATCAGCTATGATGAGTTTACACGTATAATTTTAGTACTTTGTCCTACAGTAGAAATAATACCGGCCAGCACTCAACATGTAGAACAAGATCCGGATTTTCAACTTAACTCCAGTGTGAAGTCAGTGCTACTCACTATACGGATCAGAGATTTCGCACCACACCACGCCGCGTCGCGTGCGTCACGAAGGGCACTTCGAACAAACTACATGACTTCATCAACAGCTGTCTTCGCTCAGTACTACTCAAGATGAGATGTTCGGCCAGAAAAGATCAGTAACAAGGATCTCTAGCAACTAGCAATCTCTAGCAGGAACCAATTGTGTAAGAAATATGCAGGAAGAAATGGAGTTAGGTGGATTGATTGGATTGTGTCCATACTCTGAGAAAAATAAAACAATCAAGTGAGTGACATCACATGTCAGGCTATTTGTCGAGTGGAACGCGAATGGGAATCGGTGAGTTGGTCGTCAGTGAGAGGGTGACATGGAGGAGGTGATGTGAAGAGGAGATGAAAGTGTGTGGGCAGATATGGAGCCAGGTGAAAGCGTTGGCGGAGAATCAAATGCAATGGAGACGTGCGGCTATTGAGTAACTTGATATGCCGTATCCTTTGAAAATTCAGTGGGCATGTTAACGCTTTCACTTGTCAGGTAGGCAGGTAAATGGATAGTTATGTAAGAAAAGGCGTTCAGCAAAGAGTTACTCCTCTTTTCGGCGATATCATTGAACGACAGTCAGGTCAACGGCAGTGGTAATAAGGGATGGGAGGGGGAAGAAAACAGTGTACAATGAAGAAACAAACAAGCAACAAAAAAAAGACGAAACCAAAAATTACGTTTTTGGTGTTAAGAAGATAGATCAGGTCGACTGTAGACTTGTTGATGCTTGAACAAACTTCTTCTTTTGTATGCAGAGTTGAAGATTTAACATGTGATGAATTGCCATTGCTTCTGCCGGGGGTTTAAAGAAGTTTGATTAGTACTCTGTTGTTAGCGAGATTCTCACGTATTCTGTAGATGACTTGGAAGTTGTTTTGGAGGTGGGTTAGTTTTGTGTCCAGATTTGATCAGATGTTCCAGGATAGAGTTGAGCAGGGGGATCATTTTTCTCCTTTATATATAACCGTGACTCTGGGGGTAAGTGTTCGATGGATGATACGTTTGGATAGAAAACACTGGCTACGGCTGACACACCTAGCTCCACAGGTGAATTGGTAGATACACATTGATGAGGCTGGCCTACAGTAGGTAGCTTATCCACGTTCACGTTCATTGTCGAATCATTGGTTTCGTAGAGAAAGTTATTCATAGAAGGGTTTCTTCATTGTGAGCGAGACAATCAGCGGTTTCTCAGTATATTTCTGATGATGAGTCTCCATTGAATTGTATGTAGATTCAATTAGCAATGTGTTGTGGAAGCAGATAATCGATAATTCCATGCATATTATCGATTATTGATTATTATTATTACTATTATTTACTTGAGTTTTCATGTTTAACTTCCTATTTTCAGTCGTATTCTAATCAGCAGTGATATGTGGGCTCGAGGCATTGACGTGCAAACAGTAGGATTAGTTGTAAACTTCGACTTGCCAATAAACACCAGTGAATATCTGCATCGTATCGGTCGTTCTGGTCGTTTTGTACGGACTGGACTAGCTGTTAGTTTTATCGCCGGTGGAGAAGATCGTAAACAACTACTGGAGATTTGTAATTATTATCAAATCGCCATTCCACCAGCCCCAGCACGTTTGGATAAAATGTTAGTTACAAGCCGCTCTGTTCATCAAAGCTGCTCGTCTAAAGCATTAGACGACCAGGCAACAGGTTCCCTTCATCATCAAATCGCCAGCACTATGATATGCGAGGTGAAGAACAAGAAGAAGAGAAGGGGAAAAGAAGCTCTTAAACATTGTCAGATGAATTGTATTGTATTTATTCCCCCTTTGTGTAGATTATTCTTCGTATTTCTCCCTTTTTCTCTGTAAATTTGCATATTCATACACTATGTAACCATAATAAACTGGATGATGATGATAAAATGAAAGCTGCGGTGGGGTGAACTGTTGAACCGTTCCAATAGCATCTTTTGAGAAGTTTTAATGGCTTTATTGATGGTGTCTCTATACTTACTTGGCGAAACCTGTTGAACTTTATCCTGATCGATAGCTGCTACCTTGACGTGGTTGTCAGTCGGGCTTGCATATCGCAATGACCCGCAACAAGCTACACTGGTTGGAACTAATGTTCCGGCATGCGTTCTACCATCCCATGCGTTGATGATTGTTAGGATAGCGATTAGACTAAAAACACAATGCTGAGGATCCGTCTTTGGGCAAAGTCGTACTACCGGGGAATAGGGATGTAACAGCAGCAATGCAGTGTTTCCCTCAGATGGTCAGCATGCCAGCCAGCCATGCTGTCTCTCCACTCTGTAGAGAGTGGGTGGGAGTTAGAAAAGGTTGAGTCCAAAAATTTTACATCCCGACTTACCCTACGGCAGTCAAACGAAAACATGGCACCAGTCAATGAAATCTACAACAGTTAGTCTAGGCCACGTAGGAAGATGTATAAGAATAAAACTTGGGCACTGTGGTAGAGTGTAATTCCATTATGGGTAAATTTTATTTTGATAGAGTCTCACAGTGTTATACAGAAATATTTACTGACATCATCAGTAAATATTACTGTATAACACTGTGAGACTCTATCAAAATAAAATTTACCCATAATGGAATCACGTAGGAAGATGTAGACTTCCTGATTGGGGTCCTCGGGACGGTAAAAACCAATGGTTGGAAACAATTGGTGACATGACTAGCTCAAAATCGTTCTCAGTGATGGCTGGCGCAGATGCATCCACTCCTTGTGACTAATGATTTCCAATGAAACTGTTTTGTTCTTCGTTATTACTATTCCTTTGTCTCACGACACCTCTGTTTACTGTCTCTCTCTATGATGAATTTCTCCTACTTTCTTCTCTTGCTTTGTGTGCTACAAGGAGGGAGTGTGGCGACTTGAACTGCCGCACATGTGTGCAAAGTTCTATGTCGAAAACAGACAGACCCTACGGCAGTCCGTAACCGACAGTAAGTTACCAATACGGAACCAATCCAAGAAGCCAGTTCATACAGGCCGTATGTGACAGGCCGGCCTCAAATAGTTGTCCCCTGGTCTCTCTGGTCACGCAATACTAACTCTCTGTTTCAGTTACGGTGGTGTGCGGGACAGCCGGGAAGTAACAACCACCCACATACTTCCAAAAGCACACGAAGCCTTCCTGATCATCAACCTCCTTTACCACTGTCACCCTCATCATCTTTCTTCCCTACTACTATGAGTGCTATTCTGCAGGCTGGTCAGTTATCTTCATTTCATTCTGTGACCACAAATAACGATGAGAGTCATAAAAACACTTCCAATGTCTCTTAATGCCACCGTCGGGACTCTCAGCCAAATTGGACAACAGGTATCACTAGCTAGAACTCTGGTATCTCGAGGTATGGATGTATGGTATGTTTCGGAGACACGCATTCAAGACCCGAGTGTGATTATTCTTTTAAGCCCACTCATCTAACAAGGTGGATCTGCGAAGTTCACCTTGAGGGTGTGAGAAGATTCCTCAGCTAATTCATGAGGACAAGCAGATGTAGGGATAGCACTGAGTGTTAGGGTAGAAAACTCCCTTCTTGACTGGATCCCAGTAGATAGTCGTATGTGTGTGTGTGTGGTCCGTCCGAACAGGTTCGTTAGAAGAAGGAAGGATGGCGTTACCCGTCGTTGTCTTTTCATAGTCTACTCTTACACCCCAGCTGATTGCAGTTTGGATGAATTAAAAGATGACTTCTACCGGAAAATGTCTAATTTGCTGAAAAAAGCAAAATGTTCAGACATAGTTGTTTTAGCAGGTGACTTCAATGCCCAAGTACGGAATTTGTGCCAAACTGAGAAGTATGTAGGTGATACGTACGGAGTTTCCTGCCGACGAACCGACAACGCTGATTGTCGTCTACAGTTTTGTTCAGATAATCATCTGTTCCTAGTGAGCACTAACTTTGGGCACAAAGAGGGATATTGCGTAACCTGGCGACCTCCACTACCAAATCAACGCTGGACTTAGATAAACCACATAGCGATAGGGTATCGTTGGCGAGGGTCAGTAGAAGACTGTCGCTCCTTCTGGAACACGTGCGTAGACTCTGATCACACACTGGCTCGCGCACGTGTTTATGCTTGCGATTAAACGGACATAAAGAAATTGTTGGCTGCGAAGTAGTTACGTCCCCAACTAGATCGAGAAATAGCGAAACGAGTATCTGAAGTCGACAGCAGGACTTCCCCCGAGGTAGCCTGGCACAACATACAGTTAGCTGTAGACACAGCTACTAATAACCTGAAACCTAAAGTTAGTAAGAGCCATTGGATTTCTACTGACGCAAAAAGACTGATTCCAGCGAGGTCCGATTATGATGAGGAGGAGCGAAAGCTACTCAAATGTAAACTGACTAGAAGCCTTCGTAACGACCGTGAACAGTCGTGGGCAACAAAAGCGGAAGAGATGGAAAAGGCATCGGCGATTGGCAACACTAGGCAACTGATTGGACTTATCAGGGAAACAAGTGGCAAAGGCAAATGATAAGTGAAACAATCTCTGAGAAAAATGACACCATAATTAGCTCCCAGGATAGACGACTAGATCGTTGGAAAGAACACTTTGAGGAGCAGTTTAATTGGCTTACAGTTGCGCCGGACATCCACCACCTCCCTGAATGGGATATAGACTGACTGACTGGTTTCAACATAGAACTTTGCACCGATGTGCTGCAGTTCGAATCGCCACTCTCCCTCCATGTAGCACACAAAGCAAGATAAGAAAGTAAATGAAAAATAGAGACAGTCAACAGACATACGAGGCAAAAAGAATAGTAATCTAAAAGAACAATATAGTTTTATTGGGTATCATAAGTTACAAGAAGCGGATGCATCTGCGCCAGCCATTGACAACGATTTTAATCCATATCACCAATCGTCTCCAGACATTGGTGTTTACCGTCCCGAGGACCTCAACCAGGAAGTCTACACCTTTCTACGTGGCTTAAACTAACTGTCGTGGCTTTCATTGGCTAATGAAGCCATATTTTGGTTTGACCACCAGTGTCTGTTTTTCAACCTGACCCTATATCAGCTAACATTGCCTACTGTCGAGGAAGGCGATGGCTAGACATGCATGCATGAGTAACACATGTCCTAACCATCTCAGTCGATGTAACTTCACAGCCTCGTGTATTGATTTCCCCTCCTTACCTAGCACTCGACTAACGCCTAACCTCAATATTGCTCACCGTATTATACCACTTCTCACGAGAGATAGAACACAAGCACCTATGTTCAGGGAAAACTAGCCAGGCTTTTTATGTCTTCCAGTTTCAATATCTGTGTCTCGCAGCCAGTCATAAAGGAGGACGGAGTGGACTGCTGAGCAGTACACACGCCCTTTCATCGACAGCCTGCCGGATATCACGTCTGCACCAGAGACGGTGTAAACTGGTATATGCGAAACGAGCCTTCTGTATCCGTACTCAGCTGAGATTTCGTCAGCGATCAACCCATCAGTACTGGCTGATGCAACTTCCCAAATAAGTGAAGTGGTCAACACGCTTAGCCAGCCAGCCACCACTTCACTCCTGCCTGCCTATCTTTAATCTAGGAGTAGTCGATGTAGTCCAGTCCCGTAGCCTCATCGTCTTACCTTCGCCAGCAGCAGGAGAGAATCGCTCCCATGCCAAACATTCATTCGAAGATTGCTGCTCCAACTCAAGGTGTTCAGAAGACTCTGCTGCAGCATTTTGTCAGCGTGTTCATCCAATTGGGAGGACTATATCATCGTCAGCATATTCTAAGTCAACGAGATTATTCCCTGGGTCACTGAATTCAGTTAGGGTTAATTCCATTAGTACATCTATGACGAAATTAAACAGAAATGGGGATAATGGGCATCCCTAACGGACTCCAGAGATGTTTAAGGATAGCGGAGATAGTTTAGAGTCTGCGTTAACTAAGGTATTTGGCAGCTTCTGGGAATCAGATGTATTCTCATCGGGTGGATGTAAGTCATTGATTATCCCGATTTACAAGAAGGCAAACAAATCTTCCTGTAATAATCATTGGAGGATTAACTTGACCAACATGATAACTAAAGTTCTAGGCTCAATAGTCGAGAAATGCTGATATGGTTCAAAATCGTTCTCGATGATGGTTGGCGCTGACGCAGATACATTCACACTATCCTTTTTGCCTCACTCACACTTCGCTTTTTTTTATCTCTGCTTTGAACTCATCTTTACTGTCGTCAGTAGCCTTGTGCGGTACATGAAGGTATTGTGGCAACTCCAAGTGGTGAACATCTGTGCAATAGGTTATTCGAAAATCTCAAAGATGGTTTTCCCTACTATTTTGCAAATATTTGCTAACTGTTATTCAATGGAATAGCGGTAAGAAGACTGAGCTAGCCGTTAAGTATATCGATGATCTTGAAGACAGTACACTTTGGATCACTCGCTGGATATGGTCATGAATACACGTAAGGGATAGAGATGATGGTTAGTGACCATATTGGAGAAATGTATCTTCTACTGGGTATTTACCTCCTCATTGATTATACCATACGTTAGCTCTGTGTGAATGCCTTGTTTCCAAGTAGAACTTTGCACAGACGTGCAGCAGCTCCAGTGGCTACACTCCCTCTATCTACCACACAAATCAAGAGAAGAGATAATCAACCGAAATATGAGGCAAAATAATAGTGAATATGCTTACTAATCGTATATGTAATTTATCATATTGATGATGCCTGTAAACTGGCGTCCCTCATGTAAAAAATGAGAATATACTACTATTATTATTATTAATAATGAATATTAGAGTAGAATTTTATTGGATATTATCAATCACAAAGAGTGAATGCATCTGCACCAGCCATCATTGACAACGATTTTGAGCCAGCCATATTACCAGTTGGCATCTACCATCTAGAGGAACTCAAGCAGGCCATCTACACCTCCT